AGCTGGAAAGGTAAGGCCTCTGCCATGACGTTTTCGGAAAATGCAGGGGCTCAGTATTGACTGGCAGTGATAAATAATCTAGGACCTCATGTATTTTGGGAGTTGCCTTCTTTTCTGCTGTTGTTTTGGAGCATGGAGTGGTTTTCAAGATACTAATTTTAAGGCGTGTGAAAGAAACTGGGAAAACTCACAGCACTGGCACAGTCTGTCCTGAGATTTCAAGCAGTTTGTGTTTCATTGATCCTGATTTCAGAAAGAGTGCTGCTGCTCTTCTGCTTTTTGCCCTGTTTGTTTGAAATGGTTGCTGTAACGTGCTGGCCTGGAGATGTTGATTTCTGGCTCTGCCTTCGACCAATCGCACCTACTGTGATCTTTTAATTCACCTTATTTATAGAGCAAGGCACTAAAATAATAACCATATAAAATGTTAAACATGCATCATACCCACTGCAGCTAGAAGCGAACCACAACCTACTGCTATGGCTACTGTTACAATTTAAATACAAAAAACAGTGAACGAAATGATACCAAGGGGTAGTAGGTACACCTTGGGTAGTACCATAGTGATGACCAAACTCAGGTTTCTGCTTGGACTTCTCCAAGAACAGTTCCCATGTATTGCCACATAGCCATACAGGCATGCCATCACATTTTTTAAAAGAAATGGAGCATAATAGTTGAAAAATCACTGTGCACAAGCCATTTTAAGAAGATAGAGCAGAGCACACATGGCAAGAAACGGGAAAGGAAGGAAGGCCCAGGTGATCATCGGCTTGAAAGAGAAACTGGTGCAGTGAATCAATGTAGCTATGAGGGAGAGGATGACCAGGCTGGCCTTGAACAGTTTTTCACCCACCCCACTGTCCTGCACACTGACACCCAGGAGCAGATCGGGCCAGGCAGTGCATACGCTGCTGTGTGCATGGCCTTTAGCAAGCTGATTAAGTTTTGTAACTTGATGGGGATTCACTATACAATGTGCAAACATCACTGGCGACAGCATAGCAGGGCACAGCATGGAATAGAATAGAATAGAATAGAATAGAATAGAATAGAATAGACTATTTCAGTTGGAAGTGATCACACTACAGTGATCATCTAGTCCAACTGCCTGACCAATTCAGGGCTGATCAGAACTTAAAGCATGTCGTTAAGGGCATTATCCAAATGCCGCTTAAACACTGACAGACTTGGGGCACTGACCACCTCTCTAGAAATCCTGTTCCAGGGTTTGACCACCCTCTCATTAAAGCAATGCTTCCTAACGTCTAGTCTGAACGTCCCCTGGCGCAGCTTTGAACCATTCCCATGCGTCCTATCACTGGATGCCCTGGAGAAGAGCTCAGCACCTCCACGTCCCCTCCTCAGGATGCTGTAGAGAGCAAGGAAAGAAAGAAACGACGTCCGACTTTCACGCTCGCATGTTAGAAATACGTCTGTCTTTCACGCTCGCGTGTTAGAAATACGTCCGTCTTTCACGCTCGCTCGTTAACGCACCTCATTTCCCAGGCTTCAGGGCAGATCCCCGAAGGGTTGGCGTGGCAGCAGGCGGGGAGTGGGGGTCTGGGGCGGTCGGACACCCTTTCCAGCGCGAAGCGCGCCCACCGGCGCCGGTCCCCGCGCAGCCCCGCGGAGTGGGGGCCGTTGCCGCTAGATGGCATCGCCGCCCCACGATTAACAAAACCCGCTGGGTGTGACGTGACAGTGACGCAGTAGGCAGGTTTGGAATAATTCCGCTGCGGCTGTGGAGCTCCAAAGCCAGCTTTCGCCGGAAAGAAAGTTGTGAGAAGCTCCGCGTTCCATGCTAGGAAGTATTTTTCCTGTGGGTTAGAGTATCGTAAAGGAGTTATGTTTGGGTGTTTGCTGGGTTTCTGCAAAGCAAAAAGAAGTCAGCATTAACGAATATGTTATGCATAAGTGTGTTCATGTCCTCGGGTGTCAGCTCTACTGAGAAGGCGAGAATTTAATGAGCTCTCTGTAGACTTGTAAATTTGCACATTTAGAAAATACATGAAACAAATTATCTCGTTTACATGGGAGATGTCTAAAGCTCACACGAAAATTCAACCAACCCACACCAAAGTTTGCCACAAGGCACTAGACTAACACAACTATATCACTCTGCTGGTCCGCTCTAACCTGACGGATCCAAACACATCCCACCTCTCCCTGTGGCCGCAGCTGTAGCTGACACACAGACAGGCAGCGAGCAGACAAGGAATGCCATGGAAAACAAAACAGCCTTTCTGAGGAACAGGAGCATCCACGGGCACCCGCGCTGGTGGTACCCGGAGGTCGATTTGGTGCTGGATGTCTCCAGGTAATCAGTAAGTGTAGGGAAATTAAATAACTTTCAGTTTAATGTTTGGGGTCGGGTTGTTTCCTGAACTAATTTCACTGAAATGGAAAGAATATCGCCCCTCACAGTTTCCAGATTTGAAGACAGATTTTCTAAAAATATGCCTGAAGTTACTGATATTCAGGCGAATACCCTGTCAGTCATATGAATCAACTATTTCTAATTTTGCAATGTGCATATAGGAACATGCAGTGCAAACTTTTCATTAGTAGGACAATGGTTTTCAACATTTTTTTCACTTTTTTTTTCCGCCCAGTGAAGATGCCAATGTCTATGATTACTGACAATTGGCTTGTTTTTTCTTAAGTGTTTTCCAAAAGCTCGGCCAAACCAGTGTACCTTGCTGCACGGCCTGAAGCTCAGCAGACAAAACCTTCCCTAGCACATTATCATGATATGGCAAAGGGCCAGGGCAGGGGCCTCCCTTTGGCAAAGCCGTGCAGCCGGCGTGCTGCCTCAGCGCTGCTGGGTACAGCCCAGGAGTAGGTTCTGGGATGGCTCCGAGAGGGTGTTAAAGACAAATCCTTGCCTTGGCATAAGCCTGTATGTTGGTGTACATATGTGTGTGTGTGTGTATATATGTATATATGTACATATATATGTATTTTCATATATATATGTGGGCAATATGGGTTAACGCTCACGCTCCAGGGCAGAAGCTATCGACTAACTGCCTTCCATTAAGAAGAAACCCAATCTCCTAAGTGTTTCTTACATCTCTGAAGCATCTGCTCTGAGCCACTCCCAGAGAAAGCGTGCTGGGTTAGACAGACCTGCCATGGGAGCGCCAGTGCCAACACACACAAATAACATGGTTTAGAAAGACGTAGTTCAGACATAAGAATGATACTGGAAATGCAAAGATCTAGTGATACAGACCTACTTTCACACCTGCCTTCGCAGACCCAAAATACGGATCAACAGATTAAGAATTGGAGAGGATTTTATTTGTATGAGATGCCACCTGAAGTATTTTAATTCTCTACCACAGATCAGTATCCTGTTTATATTAACCTATGTATAGCTATAGCTACTGATAAAGCCATGCCTTTTATCTGTATTTCTGCGGATGGTCTGAAATTTCAAAAAGACAGACATACTCTATAGCAAAAGAATATACAGAAACGCAATTTAAAATCAATTTTTCATCAGGTTATGATATGTCTTCTATCAAAGATGAACAATTTTAGATTATTTTCTTCTATTTTAAGGTCAATGGGAGAAAACATGACCCAAAACTCTGGGTTTACAGGAAATGCAGAAGAAAAGTTTTCATGGGATGTCACGCATATGTCAAAAAAGTGAAAATCAAATCATGTACATGTTTTTTTGTGGCTGCAATATTCCACCAAAGCTGTACAAGTGCATGGTTTGCCACAGACCAAAGCCTAGTATGAATTTTACTTTAAAGTCAACGCCAGCAGTACCAAAAGAAGGAAATAATTTCCTTCCCTTGCAACGCAGTGCATGGGCACTGAACTCACTCGTTGATTTATTTGGTGTGTTACAGCTCTGCCTGGGGGCCAGCAAGGCTGCGAGCGGTGGTGGTGTGTGGACAAGCACCACGGCTTTCTGTAAGAGTAGAGAGAAGAAGTTCAGGTTGAGTTAAGGAGTTCATTAAGGAGTTCAGTATTAGGAGTTCATATGTGCATGTAGGATCACATGTGCCTTTAGGAGTTTTGCAGTTTAATTTCCAAATGATACTAATGTTTATTTTGTACTTAAAGGAAATGTGGGAGAGCGTGTTGATGATTTCTTGCAAATGTATTTATTTGCCGGAAATCGAAGCTTGCTGAATGAAGGGACAGCTGGGCCTGTGGGGCTGCTTTTACCATAACACTACAGATCCTAAACAGAGGTGTCAGTCGGGGCGGGCACTGCTCAGGTCAATCAAAGTCCAGAAATTGTTTTATAAGGTACCAAATAGGGGCATTTCAGCTTTATTGCCGAAGCTCTTGCGTCTCCCATGCAGTGGGAGCAGGTCACCCTGCGAGCGCAGCTGCAGCGTACACGCACACATCAAAACCTCAAATCACAAAGCCCTGGGAATTCCCAATTTGTCTCTCCCGTCCCTAAAGGACGTTTGCAGAGGGGGTTTAGGCACCTTCTTCCCTTTTCCTGACGTGCTGCTAATTCCTCACTACAGGACAAAGGCTCTTGTGGCTGTAGGAATCTGGAAGAAGCAGAAGGTGGTTATCTCCCGCCGCTGCGTTTTTCCCCAAATTCTGACGGTTTGCGCGGGAAACTTTTCCTGGGTGGGCGATGCCCACGGCGGGGGCTCTGAGCTTGCTCCTGCCGGTGACTTATTGAGCAGGGCTTGTTGCTGTGTGGGGCGGACGGACGGACGGACGGACGGGAGGTGTTTTCCCTGCGGGGATGGG